GAGGACTTAAAGCATTTACTGATGAAGATCAAAGAGTACAGCCTTCGGTATGGATTACATCTCAATGTAACGAAAACAAAAATCCTCACCACTGGACCAATACGTAACATTCTTATCAATGGAGAGAAGATTGAAGTTGTCAAGGACTTCATTCTTCTTGGATCAACTATTAACACTCATGGAAGCAACAGTCAAGAAATCAAACGACATATTGCATTAGGCAAATCTGCTGCACAAGACCTATTTGAAGTATTGAAGAACAAATATGTCAGTTTGAGGACTAAGGTGTGCCTGACCCAAGCCATGGTATTTTCAATAACCTCATATCCATGTTAAAATTGCACAGTGAATAAGGAAGATCATAGAAAAATTGATGCTTTTGAGTTATGGTGTTGGAGGAGAATATTGAAAGTGCCATGGGCTGCCAAAACAACAAATTGATTTGTGTTGGAAGAAGTGCAGTCAGAGTGCTTCTTGGAGGCCAAGACGGCCATACTTTATCTTTCACACTTCAAAAATATTGTCAGGAGGGACCAGTCACTGGAGAAGGATATCATGTTTGATAAGGTGGAGGGTCAGAGAAAAAGAGGAAGACCCCCAATGAGATGGATTGGCCAAGTGACAGCATTGATGGACTCAAGTGTGGCAACAGCAGTGAGGTTGGCTCAAGATCGGACAATGTTTCTTTCTGCTGTGCATAAGGCTGCTATGGTTCGGTACTGACTGGATGGTACCTAACAACAACAAGAGTGGATTAGATTCACTCAGATTCCCATTGAGTGCTGTTAAAAGAGCTTCCATACTTGACCTTTATAAATCCCTACAGCAATGTGAAGAGTATATATGAGATGCCTTAACCAAGGGGATAAAATTCAGATTGTTGGCGTTTCCCACTAACGATGGACTTGCTGGATGACTCTGGGTTTCTCAGTCTCTACTATGGAACTGGTGAGTTGAGATCTCAGTCAATGTGATCTTTGGATGGGAAAATTCTTGTATTATTATTAGATTAAAATTATATAAAGGATGCATAAAGAAATTCACTTTGATGCTGTTCTGTCTAATCAGTAACAGAATTTGAGAGTTAATAATGTGTGCACACATCAGCATAACCATTACACAAAGAAGACTGTTGTTGGATATTTTGCTCATCCATTTGCAGAGTGATATTTTTGTGTACTGAAATAATGCCTCGTACTTTTTTGGTGTTACAAACCCAAGTGCCATTTGTTACATAAATGCTTCTTGATTGTCAAGAATCTACCTATTTAGTATTTGAATGATCTAGACTAGTTGTTTTCCCCCACTCTCCTTTGTGAGCAAGTGATTTGGCTTTTTTTTTTTTTTTTTTTCCACCAATCATTTAAGTAAGTTAGTTAAAAGGGACTAAGGTTAAGTAAAACTCAAATCAAATCTGCTTCTGCTCTGCAAATAATACTGGGAAATGCCTTGGTAGGGTGCAAAAAATGATTTTTAAATTTTATTTTTGGATTTCAATTATCTTTGCTCGTCCTAAAACCCAACCACTCTATATAATTGAGAATGCATGTTCCTTAGCTCCCTAACCTGTAAACCATAGGTTCTGATCTTCAGTTCTCACGTATGCTATGTCAAAATAGAAAAAGAAGTTGGGGCAGTTTTCATCTTACTCCATTCAATTTTAGTTAGCTGATTTTGAACTGCTGTAGACTCTTTGTGCAATAATGTCACTGGTAATTAGTGGAGTTACCACTTAGAGCAAAGAATGCCTTTCCCACTGAGGTGTGACTTCAGATACTCTCACATGCAGTTGACCACATAATATGTACAGTTCAGTATTTTGGTTCAGTTTGTACATGTTGTAGGGACTTTGATGTTCTAAAAATACAGTACCTTTGGAGATAAAATAATTTCAGCGCTAATTGAGTCTGCCTCATACTATTTGACTGTTTGATGACTTTATAAATATTCAACTCTCTCGTCCATTTTTCCAGTTGATTTTTTTTGTTTTACATTCCAAACCTATGGCTATTTTTTTTCTTGTTGTCTTCTACATGAATGGAGTCCTGGTGTAGCACCCTGGAATAAACACTGGACTGCAAGATCGATTTGAACAACAAGATTGGTGGTTCAAATTCACCCGCTACTCTTTGGAAACCCTATATAGGGTCACCATGAATTAGAATAGACTCAATGACACTTAGCAATCACAACAACAACCACATGAATAATAAATTTGGAAACTCAAAGGAATAGGATAGTTCAACTCACTGCTTTAAGAAGTAATACAAGGACCCTGTCTGAATCAACTGTGGATAAATTTCTCCAATAAAGGAAAATTCATGATTTGGCACAAATGTAACCACTCTTTTCATTTTTCTTTGTTGTCTCCCTATCACATCACCTCCATTCTTTTTGTGCTTTTGGCAATTCATTCATTCATTAATTTAACAACATTGAATAACTTTGGATTACTATACCAGTACCCAGGTCTTGCATTAGGCAAATCTGCTGCACAAGAGCTTTTGAGAGTGTTGAAGAGCAAAGAGTTATGGTGTTGGAGGAGAATATTGAAAGTGCCATGGGCTGCCAAAAGAACCAACAGATCTGTGTTGGAAGAAGTGCAGCCAGAGTGCTCCTTGGAGGCCAAGATGGCCAAACTTTGACCTTATGCACAGCAGAATGAAACACTGCCTGAACTGGGCCAACCTCACTATTGTTGCCACGCTTGAACCCATTGATGCTGCCACTTTGCCAATCCATCTTGCTGGGGATCTTTCTCTCTTTCTCTTTCTTTCTTTCTCTTTCTCTCTTTCTGTCTTACCAAACATGATATCCTTCTTCAGCTACTGGTCCCTCCTGACAATATGTCTGAAGTATGAGAGACGAAGTCTGGCCATCCTAGCTTCCAAGGAGCACTCTGGCTGTACTTCTTCCAACACAGATCTGCTGGTTCTTTTGGCAGCCCATGGCACTTTCAATATTCTCCTCCAACACCATAACTCAAATGCATCAATTCTTCTACGGTTTTCCTTATTCACTGTTCAGCTTTCGCATGCATATGAGGTTATTGAAAAAACATTGGCTTGGGTCAGTCGCACCTTAGTCTTCAAGCTTGAAGACTTGTGGTGGGTGGGTGGTTGGTTATGTGCGGTGGAGTCTGTTTCAACTCATAGCGACCCTGTGCAGGGTTTCAGAGGCAGGAAATCTTTACGGTAGCAGAAAGCCTCATCTTTATCTTGCGGAACAGGGATCCCTGCGCTGGGAGCTTTCTGGACCCAGGAAAAAGAAACAGAGAAACTTGTAGCACTGGAGATGATGAGAAGCAACAATGATGATGTTGCAAGAAGCACCAGCTGAAAAAGGGCCGCAGCAGAGGCGGCCGCAGAACCAGGAGACCAGCAGGAAACTGGCTTCCTTCCTAATCCTGTGAGCCAGAGAGCTGAGTGCATTCAGACAGGACATGTGCTGGCTGGAGTAGAGCGGTGCCTCCAGGACAGAGCTAAAATACTTTGTCACTCTTAACCAAGCAGGGCAGCTGTCAGGCTGAGGGGCCAATAGGCCGAAAGTCAGAGAGAGGGCTGTTCATAGGCATGGCTGAGATTAGCTTATCCTTACGGAGGAAGAAGCGTATCCTGAATCCTGTATCCTGTTACTACCCTAACAAATCACAAAGTTGGGAGGGGGAGGGGGAAGTGTTGGCTTCTCATGTGTTAGTACTAGAAATTGTTGGAATAACTTTTACCAAACTGTGTGAGAGATTTTAGAGAGATTAATTTCTTTTCAAATATTGGTTTAATTTTTGTCGATTAAAACTTTGTTTTTACTGACATTTTTGAGCACCATAATATGGCTTTCTGCAGGTTAAGCTACTCCCCTGAAGCCTAAAAGAGTAACTAGAAAAGGTATTGGATTTTTCTCCCATAACTTATGAGAACATCATCTAGGTAAAGCTTTGGGGGAAAATTATTTTCAGCTACAATTTCTAAACTTTTACATTAGGTAAAGAGAAATCCATGTGTTTACTTAAAACAAATGAAGTTTTAAATGAACTGAATTTCTTGAGGAACTTGAGTCAGTTCCTAAGGTGATGAGGTACAACTGGTGGCGTCTAGAGACAGTAAGAGGACATTTTGGGGAAGCCATTTTTCTTTAGTGTGTTTCATTAAGAATCTCGCCCAAACTACACCCACAGCCATGGAGTCAGCCCCAATTCTTTGTGACCCTATAGGGCAAGTATAACTGCCTCACAGGGTTTCCAGGTGTGGCACTATAGGATAAAACACTGGAAGGCAAGGTCAGTTTGAACCACAAGGTCAGTGGTTCAAACTCACCAGCTGCTCCTTGGAAACCCTATACAGGGTTTCTATGAGTCAGAAACGCTTCAATGGCACTTAACAACAACAAATTGTTATAGAAACAGACTGCCTCAGCTTTCCTTCCCAAAGCAACTGGTGGGTTCAAACTCAGTACTTAACCTACATGGCTGATAAAGAGGTCGACTGAATATTTTAAAGGGGCTATCTTTTTACATTTTACTATTAGATTATTCATAACAGAAACAATCTTTGATGCTAAGTCATATTTCAAGAACTAATTATTGTGATTTCTGTTCTTTACAAAACACCTTTTACAAACACACACACATACACAACCTAAGCAGTACTGTGCCCAAACAGACTTGTACTGGCTGACAAAAGCTTACTGTTAAATTCTCAGGTGCTTGGTAAACTGTAGAGTTCAGGTAAATAGCTTGAAAGCAAAGCTATGCTGAGAGTTTTCACACTATGGAAATTGGCAAACAATGACTTTTTTTCTGTTCGAGAGATGGTTGTTAAACACTTTGCAGTCCACTTGTGCCGCAAGCCATTAAAAAAAAAAAAATCTAGGATTGTTAGCATTAAAGATTAAAATGATAGTTTTACATAAATTCAGAACAGTTAACATTACAGCTGTTTTAATGAAAACTTATATGAGAAAAAAAATAAACTTTTCTCCCCCCCCCCCCCTTGTGTGCTCAGGGATTCGAAAAGACCGAAGAGGAGGGCGAATGTTGAAGCACAAACGCCCGAGAGACGATGGAGAAGGCAGGAACGAAGCAGCGCCCTCGGGAGCCATGAGGGCAGCTAGTCTTTGGCCAAGTCCTCTCTTGATTAAGCACACCAAGAAGAATAGCCCAGCCTTGTCCCTGACAGCTGAACAGATGGTCAGTGCCTTGTTGGAGGCTGAGCCTCCAATGATCTATTCTGAGTATGACCCAACCAGACCCTTTAGTGAGGCTTCTATGATGGGCTTGCTGACTAACCTGGCAGACAGAGAGCTGGTACACATGATCAACTGGGCCAAGAGAGTGCCAGGTAAGACACGGAGCTTCCGCTTTCATTTTAAGACTCATGAAGTGACTAAGATGTCATGGGAGAAATTGTGCAAAGCAGTCGTTTGTTATCTAATTGACTTCACTGGATAACATCAAGGTTTGTTCATTTTTCCGTATTCACACATGCTCTTGGAAATCATAAAAAAAAAAAAAAATTCTTCTAGAAATGAAAATCCTTGTTGTTGTTAGTGCCCTTGAGACGGTATCTACTCATAGTGACCTTATACACACACTGCCTGGTCCAGTGCCAACCTCACAGACGTTGCTGCTCTTAAGCTCACTGCTGCTGCCACTGTGCCAATTCATCTCATTGGAGGTCTTTTTTTTTACTGACCCTCCACTTTACCAAGCATGATGTCTGTCTCCAGGGACTGGCTCCTTCTGACAATATGTTCAAAGTATGAGAGATGAAGTCTGGCCATCCTGTCTTTTAATGAGCACTCTGGATGTTCTTCTAACATAGATTTGTTTGTTTTTCTGGCAGTCCATGATACTTTTAATATTCTCCTCCAAAACCATAACTCAAATGGATCAATTCTTCTACGGTCTTCCTTATTCATTGTCCAACTTTCACATGCATATGAGGCTATTGAAAATACCATGGTTTGGGTCAAGTGCACCTTAGTCCTCAAACTGACTTCTTTGTTCTTGAACGCTTTAAAGAGATCTTGTGCAGCCTAATGCAATATTGTTTTATTTCTTGACTGCTGCTTCCATGAGTGTTGATGGTTGACCTGAGCAAAATGAAGTATTTGACAACTTCAATCTTTTCTCCACTTACATGGATGTTACTTATTGATACAGTTGTGAGTATTTTTTATTCTTTACATCAAGTACAACCCATCCTGAAAGCTGTGGTCTTTGATCTTCATCAATAAATATTTAAGTCCCCTTCACTTTCAGCAAGCAAGGTCATATCATCTGCATATCACAGGTTATTAATGAGTCTTCCTCCAAACCTGATGCCGTGTTCTTCTCCTCGTGTCCAGTTTCTTGGATTATTTCCTTAGTATATTGATTGAACAAATATGATGAAAGAATACAACCTTGGAGCACACCTATCCTGATTTTGAGCTCTTCGGTGTCCCCTTGTTCTGTTCAAACGATTGGCTCTTGGTCTATGTACAAGTTTCTCAGGAGCACAATTAAGGATTCTGATATGATTCTCCACAATGTTATCAATGGCTTGTAATGATCCGCACAATAAAGCACAGGTAAACATCCTTCTGGTATTCTCTGCTTTCATCCAAGATCTTTCTTATGTCAGCAGTATCCCTTGATCCAGAACTCTCTCTGAATCTGGCCTGAAGATTCTTCTCAATGTACTTCTCTGACAGTTTCTTCTCAATGCACTGCTGCCATTTTTGAATGATATTTAGCAAATTTTTGCATACAATATTAATGATAATGTCTGATGATTTCTGCAGTCTATTTGGGTCACTTCTCTTTGAAATGGACACAAATATTAAAACCCTTAGCATGACATAATTTAAGTATTTTAACTCATTCTTTTCACCATATATTTAGCATTATATACTCACAGTATCAGAAATTTCAAACACTCAAAATATCACTGCTCCATGAAACTTTTACATTGTTAGAATTTTCAATAAACATTAAAAAAAAAAAAAATCACCTCAAGAAATCTTTTCTTTTGAAATTTCTGTGGACTAAATGCAAGCATGTTGGCTCCATAAGATGAGAACTGGACTGTGAACTACAAGGTGTGCTTTACGAGTCCGCCAACTGCTCCTCAGGACAAAGAGGAGGCTTTCTGCTTCCACAAAGTTTCAAAAAGCCTCAGAAATCCCAGACAGGGTCACTATAAGTTGGAACTGACTTGGCTGCATTTAACAACAACAATGGACTGAATAGGTAATAGTAGTTTTCTTTTTTGAATGAAAGTTATGTATCCAACCCTGTCTGTTCTTGTTTGTATTTTAAGAGCAAAGCAACTGCAATAGAAATTTAAATTTGCTTCTCAGCTCTCTGCGGAACTGTAGACAGAAACTCTTTGATTTTTCAGTTGAGTGTCTTCGAACTCTTACTTCTGTGAAGCTTCACTGTTGTTCTTGTCATTCAGAAAGAAAATCTCTAATTATTATGGAGACAAGACTAAGAAGTGACCTTCTCCATGACCCAAAATATACGTTTCTATATAGCACGGTAAACTAAATTAATGTGGAGTTTTCCACTTTTATTCCATGGATCAAGTAATCATATGTTTGGCCTTAGAAAATATTGCATGTATTTGCAGATAGCAATATTTAAATAAGTAATATTTAAAATAAGAAGCCAATAATGTGGTGATCCAAACTTGATAGAGGATACTTACTCATTTAGGTAGTAAAGACCTGGCTATATAGAGGCATGAGGATGAATAGCCAAATTTGGATCTTCAGTGTTAATCTAACCGGCAAACAACGCCTTCTAACCATCTTTGGTATCCACAGTTTTATTGAGCATGTACATATTTTAGCATTCTCACACACAGCAAATCATGATATGCCGGTATTGCAATAGAAAAGTAATTTGGCTAGAGATTATTATTATTATTATTTTAATCTTTCTGTTATTTTCTTTTAAATAACTACTTTGGTAAAAGATACTAAGCAAAATAGCTTAGGGCCATGTTTCTGAGAAGTAACTCTTGGTTACTGTGAACTTATATTTTCCTATAAACCTTTATTTTTCTCCTGAAGTCTTCATAGTATTTGTTTCCAAGCACTGCTAAACCTGACTGTATGTATATACGTTCATACTTATCATGACATCTTTATACTTAGACACATTTAAAGAGCAGTTGAAGTAGCAAGACTTAAGTTCAAATATAACTCCAGTATATAGAGAATTGATGACAGCAATCTCTCAATTCAGGAACAAAATAGAGACAGAAATCAAGGGAAGGAAAATATACCCATGTTTAACCATTCCCGTTATTGAACCCAGAACTAAACAAATTTATGGTAATGAGATGTCTAGCAAAGCCACTGTATAACTTAATTATGTTAATTTAAAAGACCCACATGATCCTAGAATCCTCAGGCCAAAATTATATCTTGTTACTTGATTATTTACAAAAAAATTAAAAACAGGAATTTAAACATAAAAATGAAAAATAAAATATGTGTGTAACATTGGAATACAGCTGTTATAAATCAAAAGCCTACTTGTTCCAAAAAGTATAAAATAAAAATAGCCATTGATTTTTAAAAGAGGCAAAATGGGGAAATGAAAATGTCTTCTGCAAAAACTATGAAGATGATTGTCAAACTTTTCTGAAAAGTTAAGTCACATTTTGAAAAGCTCTTAAATATCCAAATGCCATCTGTCATTTAAAAAATATATAGCCTACACTGGAAATCGAATATAGACAATGTTGCATTTATGTTGTAATAGGAATAATAATAATACTGATTTAGAAAGCAAAGGAATAGAAAACTTCATTCATAAAGAAGAGTATCAATAAAGCCAATTCTATTTGCCTATTGTTGTTGTTAAGTTCTGTCAAGTCACATAGTGACCCTGTCTAGGATTTCCAAGGAGTGACTAGTAGGTTTGACCCACCAACCTTGTGGTCAGCAGTCCAGTGCTTATCCTACTGTACCACACCAGCTGCTTTCAAATTGTCTCCAACTCATAACAGCGTTAGTTACAAGAAACTGAAGTGGTGCTTGGTCCTGTGGCGTTTTCATGATTCCTGGTGTGTTTGAGTAGCTGTTATGCTGCACTTTCTCATAGAAGATTTTCCTCATTTTGGGGTCCTCTACTTTTTCAAGCATGTTGTCTTTTCCTACCAATTGGTCTATTTTGATGACGTATCCAAAAAAGTGAGTTGAAGTCTTGCCATTGTTGCTTCTAAGAAACATCTGGTTGTTTGTTTTTCTGGAAAACTGTGGTATAATCAATATACTTCACTAACAGTATAATTTGAACACATTAATCTTCTGTCTTCTTTTTCACTCATCAACTTTTGCTTGTATATAGCCTGGTGTGGCACTGTAGGATAAGCGTCGGACTGACAGATCAGTTTGAACCACAGGGTTGGTGATTCAAACTCACCAGCAGCTCTTGGGAAACCCTATACAGGTATCTATGAGTCAAAATCAACTCTACGGCACTTAACAACAACAACATGATACAAAACCTGCATAAGTCATTTCGATCATCTTGGTGGTATAGTGGATTAAACATTGGGCTGCTAACCAAAAGGTTGGCAGTTCAAACCCACCAGCTGCTCTGCAGGAGAAAGATGAGGCAGTCTGCTTCCCTAATGTTTACAATTGTCAGGATGGTCCAGGACAGGGTAGTGTTCCCGTCTTTTGTACCTCGGGTCACTATGAGTCAGAACCGTCTTAAAACACTAATGAGTGGCTATCAGTATGACAGAAATTGGAATTGATTTCAGGTGAATGATGAGTCTCAATGACTACAAGGGTAAGCCAAAAAGTATTGGTACAAAAGTATAGAAACCTTTATAAGGAAACATATCAAAATGTGAAGCTATTATTTCTCAAAATGTTCTATAGTGAAATTGCCTAATATGATTCTTCCATTCAGTCATGGTAACTCCCACCAGATGATCATTGATGTTGTTGGTAAGTGCCATCAAGTCAGTTTTGACTCATAGCAACCCCGTACAGGGTTTCCAAGGAGCAATTGGTAGATTTGAGTCATCAGCCTTACAGTTAGTAGTCAGTGCTTATCCTACAGTGCCACATGGGGACCGTGCAAATAGGGTGTTGTTGTTAAGTGCTGTTAAGTTGGTTCTGACTCATAGCAACCCTGTATAGGGTTTCTGAGGAGCAGCTGGTGGGTTTCAACTGCCAACCTTGTGGTTCGCAGTCCAGTGCTGACCTTACAGCACCACATCAGGAGGCCAGGACTCTAATATGGGGATTGGTTAGTTTTGTCATCCTGCTAGGTTTAAAAGGGTCCATCTCAGAAACAGAGAATGACGACTCCAGGCTCATCAAGGAA